TTATATTAATAATTATTAATTTTAAAAATTTAAAAATACTATCATTAGATAAATCTTAATATGACAAATCTAATAAATTTTATTTCATCTTTTTATAATTATTAGATATTAAAATATTATAATTTTTCTATAATATTTTATAGCTAATTTATACCTACGTTTTAAGGGATAATATAAATTTCGTATGAAGATTTACAGTTTAGTTTATTTATTTTATTTATATTAGTTTGATTAAATATCAAACAAATCAATTTTTTATAATATTTATTTATGTTTATGACATTTGATAGAATGTCTATTGGTTTTAATCTCCCCTTTAGTATAAAATTCTTTTTCATTTTCTTGACATCCTTCACATAAAGGATAAATTTGTTTAAAACGTTCTTTTAAAGATTGAGAAGGAGTTACCAAATCTTCTCTTTCTTCACAATAATAAAAAATTGAATAATTGCCTGATTTACGACTTGAATAATACAATATTTCAATTGATGAGTTACAACTGATTTGAGTACGTATAAACACTAAATCTTTTAAATAATGATCATCAGAAAAGATTGATGCATCACAAGAATATGAATATGAATCTAATGCTTGTTGATAATCTTTTTGTTTCTCATAAGTCAAGGATTTATCACACAGCGACATTTTCCATAATCTTCACAATGGATATAATCACAGATTTTTCCTACAACCAAAATAGATTTTGGAATAGATTCTACATTTGCTTATGATTGCATATATGTTGGTCTATGTTTTTCAGTCGTTTCAATTCCATAATCACTTTGAAAAGTTGCATAATAATCTATATTGTCTAATTTATTTTTTAATAAAAAAATTATTATTTAATCAATATTAAATATACGAAATACAATAGATTACCTTATGAAAGAATTGGATCTGAAAGAAAACTCAAATTATAAAATTCATCTAATGGAAAACGAATTGGTTTATAGTATAAACAGGTAGTATTATTACATTTTTTTATCTTAAAATGATAAAAATATGAGAGGATTAAATATTGAAAATATTATTAATACATACCTAAAAGCTATAAGTACGCATACGGCAATGAGTTTTCATATATTCAATTAATATAGAATGATGATATATTTGTGCTTGTGTAATTTCTTCAATTCTCAAAGTTGAATCTATGTTAAAAATAGACTATATGAAAAGTAAAAATATAAGTATAAGTATAAAAATAAAATAAAAATAAAAAATATATAAATAAAATAATAAATTTTACTTCAAATAATTTAGTAATTTCTTCTTCAATTGTTGGATTGTGACATTTAAGTTTTTTATCTTTAATTAAAAGTCGTTCTGTTCGATTCTTTAATAAATTTTGAACATCTGCTATACTTTCTTTTAATTCAAACTCTAAATCACTAAATTCTTGAGCTTTTTTTCATATATCATCCAATGTATTTATTACATTAAATAAAGTTTCAGACTCAGAGCTCATTTGATTATGCTTAAGTGCAATACCTTGAAGACCCAAATTCAAAGTACTCATAACTCATTCTGCAGGATTTGTCTAACTATGATTAGGAGCTGTACGAACTGCAATAAGTAAATCAAAATTCTCACAAAGAAAAAGACAAATCAATGCAATTTGTACTGAACCATCATTATATCAATGATCAAGACCTCCATCAGTATAAAGGCATAAAATTGAAAATAATATTTGATGTTTATATTGAATATTAAGTGCATTTAAAAACTCTGCTGAATGTTGAATAGCACTACTTGGTTCAAAAATTGTATTTTTGTAAGATACAAACACCTGACTACTATAAAATGATTCAGAAATATCATTAGGAATTGAAATAAAAAATGTGACAGATGGTGTTAAAGAAAGCTTAATAAAGTTATGATCTGCAGTAGCCAAAATGCTATTTTGAGTAACCATAAAATGCTGATTTCATACACCTGTAGAAACTGCAACATCCTCTCCAATAGGAATTTTGTGTTTATTATCTGCAGATATTAAACAAGTTCATTGACGGTATTGAATGCAGAATTCTCTAAGATATCGAAAAAGTGCTGCACAATAATAAGCATCATCACTATTTTTCAAAGTAATCGACTTTGTACTTTAAATTTTACATTAAATCAACCAGTATGATATATCGACCATATTGTAGTAGCATTTGTAGGATAAAACTAAAGACGAATTAATTCTTCAGATGGAATGTGAATAGTAAAAGGAAGGGAATTATTATGAATAATATTTAACCTTTTTATTATAATTTTACGAAGATCATGAATAGATATAGCTAACGGCATGTATAAAACAGTTCTATGACACTGTTCATCTACTGCAAGCAAATTCTATAAAATGAACTCATAAATTAATAATTTGTCAATAAAAATAAATTATAATAAAATAAG